CCCCCAAGCCCCTCCCAGCCACTTCTCACTCCCCACCAGCAGGATCAGGGAGAGAACTGGGAGGGGAAAAGCTGGAAAACTCATGGGTTGACATAAAGACAGTTTAATAAGGACAAGCAAAACCTGCACACACAAGCAAAACAAGGAATTCATTCCCTGCTTCCCATGGTTGGGCAGGTGGTCAGCACCTCCAGGAGAGCAGGGCCCCATCCCACAGAACAGTGACTTGGGAAGACAAACTCCATCACTCCAAAGGTCCCCCCTTCCTCCTTCTCTCCCCCACTTTATATCCTGAGCATGATGTTGACACTATTGTCTGGTTCAAAGGTGTGGGGTGGAGTCCTCACTGTCTGGGTTGCCCATGTATTAGTCAGGCACAGGTGCAACTCAGTTCTTAACACAACAGAAGGAGAATTAAGGAATGACACTGCAAAGGTTATTGGTGTGACAGGGGTTAAATTAGGAAAACAATTATCAGTTTCTCTATTTGCCAAACTCCCCTAAACCTTTGCTAGGAAGAGATTGATTGGAAAACTTGAGGCAGAAATTAAATTTAAAAATGGGCACATTGAAATTGTAATTGCTGAGACTAAATATGTTGAAGCAGCAACTCTTCTTGAGCAGGAAATAACTCCAGTTAGCAGCAACATCCCAAGGGAAGCTGAAGATGCAGTTGTTCCTATCGTGTGGGCCAGTGGGATTCCATGAAAATCAGGAAAGGCAGCACCTGTAAGAATTACCCTTAAGCCAGAAGCTGTACTGATAAGGCAGCTCCCGCCTGTCTGTGAATGCCAGGAGGAGGAACTGGGGGATTGAGCTGCTGTTGGGCATTTGTTGTTTCATGGTATGGGTCCCTATTCCTGAAAGGAAAGACATGGAACAATTAAGACAGACGTCTCTGAGCAAAGCCACTCCAGTTTTGAATGGAAAACCTGCCAAAATAAATCTGTTTCCTTTCCCTGGTTTTTGTTGGCTGTGAGGAGCAGGAGCTCTGCCCATGTGCTGCCAAGGACTCGGCTTTGCTCTGCTGCAGTGCAGACATGGAGCTGCTTTGTGACAGCTCTGACATTCACAATGGACATCAGATGTAATCCAGTGGAAAAGCTGCATCTCTGACCTTGTAACTCAGAAGACCGTGGGCTGCAGAGAGAGGCTTAGCACAGCCTTTTACTGATTTTACCTGTGTTTTTTCTTTTGCACCATCACATCTGGAAAATGTACTCTTTATGGGCAGAAATCCACATTCTAGTTACTGTGAATGTGAACCTGGACAGGCAAAACGGATCAGCTCTCTATGGCTTAGAGCAGAGCCAGAAGAGGTGCAATGTCCATCAGTCTGTTTCCCATCTCTCCTGAGTTTTCCCATTTACTGCCTCAAAGGTGACTTCACCTACAAATTAGTCTTGAAAAACATGACAGAACAGGACAGGAGTCCTCCCACAGAGAAGCCAAGGGCTGGCAGAGCAGAGTGTCCACCCCCAAGGGAAGGTTCAGCACTGCCCAGGATCCTGCCCAGGCAGAGCTAGGCCTTACTGGGGGCAGCTCCAAACCCAGCAGCACAGGCCCAGCGGAGAGGGGGGGTCCCGCAGGGGAGATGTTCTCCAGGCAGAGGCAGCTCCTCACCCAGCACACAGTGCCCAGCAGAGCTGCAGGGAAGGGCCCCCAGAGCTGCCCGAACGCCCCCTCCCCCGGGCCTTGGGGGCACTTGCCCCCCACTTGCCCCCCACTCTGCCCTGGGCTCTGCTGCCGGGAGCTGTCCCTGCCAGCAGCTGCTTCCCTGTGCCCAGAGCTGGGCCCTGGCAGTGCTGCCAGAGCCCATCCCAGCCCCGAGGGCTCAGCTCTGCCCTGCAGAGCCCTCCCAGCAGCACAGGGCAGGGGCATCTCTGGCTGGGCAGGCTCTGATGGCAATGTCAGAGCAACCCTGAGGAGGCTGGGAAAGCGACACTGATGCTGCCTGTAAGGCACCATGTGCTGATCTCTGATACTGCCTGGTTTATTCACCTCTGCACAGAGCAGATTTGGAATTGCAGTGCTGCCCTCTGAAATGAGACATTGATTTGTACTTCTCATTACTCACGAGATAAACAAGAGCATGAGGTTGAAAGAATGGGATCATCCCCTCTGAGGCAGCCCCTGCCTTTCTGTGCTCATTGAAAAGTCTCCCGTGAAATCTCCTCTTGTGCTCTCCAGCTGTGAGCAGCCCTGACTCACAGAGCACCTTATCCACATAAGGACTCAGCCCTCCAAGTCATTGTCCTTGCCCACAGCCCTTCTCCCCCAGCCCTGGCAGCAGCTCCCCGGGCCGGCTGAGAGCTGCCCCTG